AAAGCCCGCTAATAATATTAATATTTCATCTCGGTTCTCCGGGGAAATATGTACATCGGACAATAGTGTATAGAATTCGTACGGGTTCTATAATTCAACAACATTGATTAGCCGCAGTGAAAAATATATAAAATGTTAATGATCGAACCCAAGCTAACATAATAATATGTATATTATGCTGTTCCTATACACGGTTTCGTAAGGCACAGTCAAGAAATTTATGATTTTTAAAAGCTATGAGATACGAAAATTATTTAAGAAATAATCAGATTAGTGCAGAATCATAATAAATTGTTAACATTTTTAAAGCAATATCAAAATGAGATTATTTGAATTATATTTTATTGTACCGTATTATAAATAGTGCTTATTTTCTAGAACGAATCGGTTCCTTGGAAATCTGGTAACGCCACTGTTAAAAGTTAATTTACAAGACGTTATATTTTATAGAAAAAAACGAATCAAAAAATATATTCCATGAAATTGAACTATAATATTATTATTCCACTTGTGTCATCGGATTTTCTTTTCAACCATTATCGATCTCAACATAGTTGTTCGGTAAAACCATTGGCTCAGACGTATTTCCTTTGCTACAATCGGTTTCCAATAAGAATTAAACTAAACGAGAAACAATAGGTTCAAACGGAAAAGAAATTCTTTCGGTGGCCATCGTAATACAGTTGTAAGTACTGCTTTAGATGTTTTCAAAATGTAAACAGTTTGGGAAAAGGGGTCCCGCGGCGGAATCGATATTTCGAAAACGCGTACATCGTAGAAGCGTGTGCAGTATGGCGATGTTGAAATAGGTACGCATTTTATCACGCGACGACGATACGAACTCGTACCAGAGACTGGTCGGCGGACACGGGTCGTCGTAAGCGTACGCGGTTCTGCAATTATTTCGGAAAAACCACAACCGTGGTAACCACCGTCATCGTTATTATAATGGATCACGAGCCGCTCCAAGCGCGCGCGGTCTCGTGTATGTAAAACGACTCGCAGGAAGTCACGGGGTCAAGTTGAACGGAGTTGAGCAACACGTGTGTCATTTGGGGAGGCGGTGTGTGCTTCATGCGCAGTTTGCCACTGCCCGCGCCTCATTATCTTAGATCTCGTTACAGGCACAACGTTGTTATTATTATTATTGTTACGAGTGTGTTTACCAGGCACGCGGTGTCAAACGAAATATTTGACCGCAACGCGAGCAACATGTATACCTATTTATAACGATCATCGTATTAACACTTGCGAAATTTCGGCCAAGGGTCTTTTCCGTTTGTATATACTACACGTACGCCTACATCTGGCGGAAACTCGCGCTCGTTCGTCGGTACTTGGAACGAAACGAAAAATTGATCAATTGCCCTTGCGCACCGCACTCGAAATGTGCGCATACATATTACATGGTTTTATCATATTTCTCGTTACAAACCGTTCGTATGATTTTCGTACTATATTATTGTAATTGTAATTGTTTTCTCGATTTGATGCAGTCGCCGTACGCGTAATGGATATACTGTCACGTTTTCGTCCATGGTCGTGGGCTAACAATAATGTAAATATTATAACCGTGCACCACGTAAACGTGTTTTTGTGTAGTGGTCGTTGTCTTAATATATTAGGCACTAATCCGTTAACGCATCGATATAAACTGTTTTTTTATCATTACCAGTGCGCTATACTATGACCTAAAAAATCTTAATACCACCGCTATATAATATATTGTACTCTATAAATTATGGAAAAAAAAACAACGAATAAAATAATTCCTTTTTTCCTTATGTTTACGTTTTAAGAATTAATTAGTTTATTAACTGTGAAAAATTTGAGAATTTTTTTCTGTTCTGTTCATAAAACTATTTCTGTGATTTTTAATTTTAAGTACAATATTTATGAAAAACACAAAATAAATCAAATGTATTACGTACATAAGTGAAAAATAGTATAAAAACTGGAGAAATAGCGCTTATAAGGCTACATTTCTAAAAATATAATAAAACTTAAATTTTAAAAATATGGAAAAACATGATAAGAACGTTGTCGATGATTGGGATGATACATTATAACGTTAAAAATATTGCATTTAAAAAATTGAAACTAAATTTAACCTACTAGGTATTATTTCTATAGTGTCGATGTACTATTTTGAACTTGTTCCATCATTATGAAATGTCTATTTCTCTCGTGAGTTTATATTTACGTTCCGTCGAAACTACTATGCTACTTAGTACTTTGTATAACACTCCGATTTACCTGGACGATTTCCGAATAGGCGACGATTAAAACATGATTTATCTCTGGCATTTGCACCGTTCCATTTTAAAAAAATAAAATAAATAAATAAAAAAAAATAAATACGATTATAGCGGCCGATTCTATAATATAATCGTTAATATTACTGCAACGGAAAATATTTATACGGATCGTTGTCGTCAAACGAGTCTGTTTCGCTATTACTTAATGATGTTTAATCGAACAATAATTCTCGACTACATAATATATATATATATATACGCGTTTACGAGAAATTATGTGTCGTTGCGTGTACATTATTATATATAATATATAATTTAAGAATATTTTTTTTATTTTTGCTAGAAGAAAAATAAATGTGTTAATGTGATTATAAACTATAACTGATGTCCGATACGGTAAGTACCAAATAATAACTGCAGTAAACTTTACAAAAACGATCAATTATAACTCGATATTTCGGTCGCGTTGCAGCGTTTCGCAAAAATAATCATTACGGTGCTCGTACTATAATTATTACGTAAGTTTTTTTTTTTTTAAAACTTTTTTGGTGGGCCGAATTAAAAAATTAATCCATGTACACAACTTGCGAACCAACTGAACTGATTAGTATTGTACGAAAACGATTTTTCTTGTTATTACTTGTTTCCACTCGTCGATATGTGCATATACATATACATGTACATACATATTTTATACATATATATATATATATATATAAATGTTTTTTCTCTTTCTACGTTCGTACATATGTATTGTAACGGTTTTATAGTAATAATAATAATAATAATAACATTATGTTCAATCGGGGACGTGCGAATGGCATATTTTCCACATGAAAGCCTTTAAATTAACGAGATTTGAACAAGTACAATTCGTGTGTATGATTTCGATCCACGCAAAAACAGCGCTTGTTTGCACCACAGTGGTACCTATATACAGAACACGCGTTGCATTATATTGTTGCACAATGTAACAATAATTTATAAGTTTTATACGTGTCCTCAGGAAAACGGAATATTTTCATAAAATATATTTCTACGTGACGTCCGCAGGAAAAGATACGAATTCGTGAAACGTAAACAGAATTTATAAATAAAAAAAGTAGTACGTTTTCAAATCCTTTGGGCTCGTCGGTCGGTTTCCGTTTACTTCTTATGATATAATACACGCAAGAACCAACATATATTATCTACATCTCGAGGATACCACTGTAGCTAGGTTAACCTAACCTGGATTCACTTGTTCGAAGACGGAAAAATGAGACATATTCCCCATCCCTATCTGATTTATAGATAACTATTAGGAAAAGCTGTTGAACTAGTACAGTACAAACTAAAAATTTTACCAAAATATCGTTGGAAATGGACAAGTTTCTAAGCGTACACGTATAAGTTAATTGCCGAAGAAGTACACGTGTATATAATATGAGTTGATTTTTTTATATGAAAATATATGTTTCTATGTTGTGAAGTGCGCGAAATTATTTTAATAATATTTATTTTACGTTTATATTTTAATTATTTTAATTAATATAATAATTATACACCAACGTTACAACCAATTTTAACTCATCAATAACTGGTGAGCGTTTTCAGTAGTCTTCAGTTCTCCGCTACATTATCCGAGTAATGACTACACAGGAGCGGATCCGCTGGAAAGATCAACCCCTAATGGATTTTTTTTAAATTTATACTAAACATTCTAATTGACATTTTTTTCCAACGAAAAAATACTTTTGAATGAAATTGTATAATAATTCTAAAGTACGTTGTATTATTATACATTTTAAATTATTCAATGTAAATTTAGTATGTATAAAAAAAAATTGAATGTGAAATTAATCTTTTCTAGTTTATTCACTTTGTCCCCCAGCGCCATATTAAAATCTTGGAGACACTTGTGACTAAACTTGAACTTTTAGCAAATACGTCGATGAGATCACCTTATGTTGACAATTTAAATATTTAAAAGAGGAGCGCGTTAAAAGATTCGGACCATCTCAATCAAATTTTGAAAGACCATTAAATTTTTATTCATCCACAAAATTATTACAATCAAAATTTAACTATTTCCGTTGTTTAGCGCAAGGTTAGGTGTAACACATGAAGCCTACACAACAATGCAGCGGCAGTTTCAGTTACCTCTGGGGATCGTTATTCGCCGATTTCATGCGGCAGTTGTTAATAACACGCTCCTCGTACGACAAATGCACGGGTAAAGTTCCAAAACACTTTTGTATACCGTTCTTAAATGTTTTCGCTGTTGATATGGCTTAAGAAAATCATTTTTTCATACGAAAAGTCACGATAATTATATACGTTTTAATGACTTGCGTAGTAGTGATGGTGGTCAGCGGTGGCGCGGGTATCCGCTCGCAAATGCGAACATTGTTATTATTATAACGCGAGCCAGAACTGAAAATTTCATTTCGACCACGTGTTGCAAAACTTTAAGTAATAACGAGAATCGCCCGCGTACCATAATAACGAGTACCGTTCTCACGACAGCGTTTGACAAGTTTATCTCACGAAGCCGTTGGTAGTGGTCAACGGGCCACGGATCTCGTACGAAATCCAATTACCTATCGTGCACTATGCACGAATATGCTTTTTATCTCGGGGCCGGGACAAAGCCCAAGGCGACCATGTCCTCCGGTTTTCCCTTTCTTTCCTTCCTCTCCTTCCTCGGGCCGTCTATAAATGTGCCGTCCGATGACTGTTCACTTTCAGTGTACAGGTAATTCGTTCTCGCAAACGTTTTTTTTTTTTATTCTCGATCCAAGTTTCTATTCATAGATTTTGTACTTATCCTGTTGCACGCATTCGGTTTGGCAAAGTTCACCACTTGTCACCAATCTACTATCTATATACGCGCAGCATCAAGATTCGCAATGGCATACGCAGTAAGTTATTATTATTGCGTCAAATCCGGATGATTGAATTTGTTACATTAAGTCAAAGAATTTGCAATTGATTATTAATCTATTTATTAATCCTCCTAGTTAAACTAAATACTTAAACTTTTTGCAACCGCAATATATTTTGGTAACTTAGAAAATATAGATAAAACACGTTAGTCAACTGCATGCGATTGTAACTTAACAAAAACATGTGTTTGAAATAGAAATAATGATTTTTGCGTTTGTTAAATGCCAAATGGTTTCAAGTTAGAACTTTTCTTTTATCGCTTCACTATTGTTTAATAATTCATTCTAGAGACAAAATAGGCGATTAACTTATGCAATATAAAAACACATAAGCAAACGTAATATTATGAACAACTTTCAAAGACTAAAATATAATTATTATCCCCCAAATAAAATTAAACAATATTATTTATTCTAAATATATTATCTATATCTATATTTATGTCATCGAGTTTTATTTTTGATTTCCATAACATCGCGTACTTTGATAGATTTACTTTTTTTTTTTTTTTACTTGTATTCACGTCATATCATCATATATCGAGACAAAGTTAGTAAAAATCTACAGTATAATATAAGTAAACTGTATCATAACGTAACTCACAAAAGTGAGACTTCCACTTTTTTTTTAATAATGTTTTGTGCATAGGTGTAGTGATTTTAAACTGTATGATTATGACGTAGTTAATTATTACTAAATTACCGAACGAAAATAATCACAATTTTATACAAGTGTCTTCTGTAACAGTACAAACAAATATTTAAGACAGATATTACTGTGAAACAGTCATATCTACATTATCAAAACTAGCAATTAGTGTTGATGTAAAAATTGCAATTTCTCCAAAATCATACGCGCACACCGGACGTAATAGTTTTTCGTATCCTTTATGGACATGGTCAACAAATAGTTTGCATTAGTATACAAAAATATTATTAAAATGTAACTACTGCTATATGTTATCATCGCAATCTATATAACAACATATTTTGCTCGATATCGATGAGTTAGACAACTACACAGTATAACATCTCATATTTGTACGAGAAACATCGTACATATTAATCTGAATAGTAATTTAAACTCATTCCTTCCGTCGCTCACGCAACGAATTGGTAATATTATTAGTACTCTTTTCACAGCGCAAGATTTGTACTCCGTCGATTTCCATCATATAGATTCAGTAAATTATAAGCAAAAGTATATAATTTAATATTACATACGCACTTTACGCTACGGTTAAACATTTTTCGTCCGTTTAAATCGGAACCTAGTTGCTACAATCTTGTTTAGAATGCTATTGATTTTTCTCCTATTGTACATTTATGTTTAGTTTCGATTTTAATTAAAAAAAAAAAAAAAAAAAAAATCGAGGACGACAAAATAATAATAACGTCTGTTCGGCTCACAGGTCCTGCGATTGCTGACGACGGCCGCGGTGTCGCTGATGATCGTCGCGCCGTCCACCACCGGCAGCCCCGTGTCCGCGTACGGTTACGCGGCCACCGCGCACGCATCACCACGTGCTTACTACAGGCCAGCGGCGGACGACGAGCATGCGTCCACGCCGGCCAAGTATAATTTCGCGTACGACGTGGCCGATGCGTACACGGGCGACTTCAAGAGCCAGACGGAGGAGCGGGACGGCGACTTCGTCAAGGGACAGTACACAGTGGTCGAGCCGGACGGCACCAGGCGCGTGGTGGACTACACGGCGGACGAGGAAAACGGGTTCAACGCGGTCGTATCAAAGGAAGGGCACCCGACCGCCGCAGCCGCCCCGCCTGCTTACCGCAAACCGACCTACAAGCCGGCCGTCGCGGCCGCTTACCGCCCGGCGCCAGCCGCGGTCGACCGGCACCACGCCGCCGCTTCCGCTTACTCGACCGCCTACCCGGCCCATTACCCAGCTAACCACCCGAGCAACCATCCGGCCTACCACTCGGGCAACCACAGGGTCAACTACCCCATCGCCTACCCTACCGCCTACCCCGCGGCCGCTTACCCAACGAGCACGGCCTACCCGCTGGCCCCGCTGTACAAGTCGGCCTACAAGCAGCCACCGCGGCCATACCCGTACGCGTCGTACTAAACGCATCTGGTGGTCGCCGCCGTGTTGACATCTCATCGTCAACCGAAACCGCCACGTCGACGAACCTGTACAACGTGATATTATACCGTACACTGGCGGCGCATCATTCAAGCAACAGCATAGTTACGATAAATTCTATTTTGAACGCTTACGTAAGACAGTACAGCTTACAGCTGGTGAAAATAAATCGCATAAGAATTGTCAGCATTGTTGTAGCATTAGAATTGTGTCGGTATGTGTGTGCGCGAACGTGTAACGTGATCGTTGACCGTGTACATACGATACGACAAAATACGACAAATAAAATCAATTTTTACGAAAAATATTCATTGTTGTTCAATGTGTGGTACACCTAGTCTCTCTCCCCCCCTCTCTCTCTCTCTCTCTCTCTCTCTCTCTCTCTCTCTCTCTTTAACTCACTACGAGCATCCTCTGTTCCAGCTCGTATCCTTTTACGCGGGGACGAAGCAAGGGGACAAATGCCAACACCCCGAGTAAAATTTCTAGGAGAGTTCAAAAATTAAAAATGTGCATTTTATGTTAAAAATGACAAAAGTCGATGTTGTATATTTTATTTACAAAAACTTCAATATCCTTTGTATTGATTGAAACAATCTTTAAAAATAATAACTAATAATTGTAATATTTTTGAATTTAAAATACATAAGGGCGTATTTTGAAATTTCTCCCTGGGCACAACATTTAATTGCTACGGCACTGGTTTTACGTACAACGTCCGTACATTATACTGATTGAGTAGTATAATTTCGGTAAGTGTACGTCGAAGGATTCAAATCGTTCCCTATGAGCCCCGAGTGGGCAAAGTAATCCGTTGGAATCCTATATGATATATATATTCATATTATGTTTATATTTATTTATCATTTTTCATATTATTTAATATACTCGTATTTCATATGTTCATCAGTTGTACACGCAAAACCGTTTAATTCAGTTTTCGAGTGATTTCCAAAAACATTGTTAGGCGTGATAAAAATAAAAAATCGTTCTTATTATCAATGATATATTTGTAGCGAATTAAAAAAAACTCAATTACAGCCGTGCCATTAAAACTATATCCTATTCATAAACAGCATACATTAAAATAGATTTTTGATCGTTTATTTTTTTAACACGCACCCACGCTGGTGTTGGAAGGATATTATTAACCTTGGCTGAAATCATATGTAAGTGGAACTCTCAGGATACCCTCGTATAATTTTTCCGATCACAAGCACTTGGTTACAGCATTGGTTCACGTCTATCCATAAGCGGTCGTTGTCGAGTTAATTAATTTCTTCCTCGTGATCGTATTGCGAAATGAAAATTTGCGGCAGTTGGGACGAGACTCGACGTGATATTGCTCTCTGCTACCATTGTAATATGAGGGTTAATTATTTGATATGTTCGTAGGAACACAGTAACAAACGTGTTTCTTTCGGAAATCGGGCTTAAGGCACACGATACGTATGATCGTTATATTTTACGTTGAATACGCACGCTCTACATATAACAGGCAATACTGCCATATGTACGCACGATTTCACGAGGGATGAGACCCGGTGTCCGTGAACTTTGAGATCTCGTGCAGCACGTGTGACCGATATCGGAGATTTTATTTATTTATCGAGATAAAAATCCTTCCCTCCCCCCAGACACTGCCAAAAAGGGAATTTAGGAATTTTTAATAAGAGGAGTGATCCAGATAATTTTCCGTGTTTATGTAAAATAAATAAAATATAACGTGGTTATCATATTCCGTGGTTATAATTTATATTCTATAGGTATCAACGGAGCTCAAGGGGAGTGGGTCCGCACCCTTTAGACTCCTCCCAGTAAATATGCTACTGCCCTCATCGGTAAATAGCCAATGATGTAATGTTAAAACTTCGGCAATTAAAAAAGAATATTAAAAACAGTCGTACACAAAGTGCAAGTAAAAATAACAATTTATTTTTTTTTAAAAAATATATTTTACCGATACTATGATTGTCGACTATGTTAAAATGTTACGGTTATAGATGAGAACATTTAATTATTATATTTTAAATAATTCGGTTTTGATCGATGAACGAATGGAAAATTGAATAAAACGGTTGAAATACATAAATATTAAAAACGACTAATAAACAATGTTTTTAAACAATGTATATCTTAAATAACTAAGGTGTGCACAATTTGATTGTTGATTGTGATGGAGCGGAGAAAATATAATTTTATAAGATAATGTATGAGTTGCAAAACTTGTCCTATAATCGAAGATTTTTCGAGTTAAAGAACTTAAAGAAATAATTTATCTTAAAAGTAAACATTTGAATATTAGATACATAATTGTAATTTTTGTTACGTATTATATAAAAATAAAAGTTTTAGATGTAGGAATACCTATCACTGTGGGTCAAGGAGAGGAGAGCCATACTACAGATCCAACATCTTCAAAACGGAAAAAATAAATAAAATACAGTTATGTTATATAGGTAAGTCTCAACCTAAATCATAACACTCTTACGATTGGAAATTATAATACATGTACAATGGTACAATGTACTATACACTTAATATATATATATAGTAGGTATTAATGAAAGAAAAATAGAAATTAGTTTTAGAATTAGGTTACAAAGAATAACATAAAGACGTACACACATAAAGTAAGTATCTATACGGTTAAATTCATATAAAATTCTAATTTAAAAATATTTTTTGGTTACAGGTTATAACCGGTATTAACCGCAACCGTAACCTTAGTTTCATATTTTTAAGATTTATGATATAAACCGAAACTTTGGGAATTTTTTTCTGAAAAACCTAACCAAAACCGTAACCGGAAAAAACATAAAGATTACAATCCCTGGTTTTGAAAGTACAAAATTGACATTCATTATTTCACATTATTTATAGCAGCTTATAATAGCAAGATTTATTTTTAAATTGACATCATTTCCATTCAAAAAAACATTGTATTGTTTTAAAACAGCGTATCCAGGATTTGTATCAAATACTAATATAAATTTTACATTGAGTATTTGTCCCTTTTCGTTTTTAATTTACTTAAGTCCATATTCTACTTGTTTGACTATATCTATCTGATAGTTTAGAGTTAAATTTTACTATCTACTTTCGGCATTTTAAATTAGATTACACATAAAAATGTTGGTTTTCGTCAAGCCATAAATTGGCTACGGTTGTTGCGGATAAACTACAGACTAGTGCCTGTATATAATAGTTGCCAGTCATATTAACATACATACACGCAGGCGCGGATCCAGGAATATTTTTTTAGGCGGGCCCATAAATTTAACCACAAAAGAAAATACAGTAAAATTATGATTTTATTTAATGAATCTCTCATTTTCGAATATTCTAGCTATTCGTATTTTGAATACCACGAAATATTAAATGATCTCTGTTTTCCGCCGATGTTTCGTCTTGGAAACGTAATGTTGGGTTGATTTGGCTCTTTTTCAACGTTTTGACTAATATCAAAAATATTGTTTTGAACATCGCGATCAATGACACCTATTGAAGTAGAAGATTTACGAATTTTTTTGGAAGTAACAGATTCAATAACAGATTGATCCGATTGTAAAAGGGGAACAAGAAAATGTTTCATGGCCTATAAAAAAAGTATTTATAAATAAAATAAAACAGGATTTTAGAATCTCAGATATAAAGAGTGGTAAATTGTTCTTATATGTGAGTAACTATTTATTACAATAATATAACAAACTACGTATATATACTGTACATATATGTATTTGTTTTCGTGTAAGTATTCAATATTTAATAATTGCATAATTTGTTAAGTATAAAATAAATAGGTATGCCTTAATAAATAGTTAAAAAACAAAATAAAACTTACCTATTTGGTGTATGTGCTCAGCACGTCAGCAATTCGTGGATGGATTTCTAATAAATTTTAATATTTAAATTGTTTAGTTAAAATGTGGATTTAAGTATGGCTTATTGGAAGTTGACAGCAGATAGAATAATATTACGAGTACACGTGTGTCATTTAACAATATTTGCTGATCGGGTAGGGTCCAGTTTTACGTACACTTATTATATCTTATCGGGGTTCCATTGGCGTTCGAAGGACGACAATCGATATTTAGATAAAATCACGTTAATCACACAGACAATTACATGTTATTAATAATAACTTATTATAAAAGGTATATGTATTGTTGTTTTGTTACTCACCATGTACGATTAATACGTTTTATATGATATATTTGATAAAATCAATTTTAATGCCGACATTCAAAATTAAAATTATTGTTTTTGAAAATTTTGGGTGGGCTCGGGCCCACCCAGCCCACCCTCTGGATCCGCGCCTGCATACACGTATATCAGTCAGATTGTATCGTCGCTATATTATATCGTATTAAATGCACTGTGTAAAAGTCCAATGAATATGATAATGTAATACAAATTACAAATAATGTATAAAACTCCTGTAATAATAGACTACCTACCTATGAAGTAAAAATATTTATACAAAAATACGAATTCGTTATGTTTAATGTAATACAAGTTATAACTTGGTTATAACATTTAGTTATAACTTATAAGGTAGGTATTTGTAGAATTTTTCGTTTTTAATTTTACTATAATAACTTTTCTCTTGTACATAACTACTTTAGTGCAAAATATTCATCAACATTATTGACTAGATTTATTGAAAAAACTATTATGATATTGGCTAAATTGGTAGATAAATGTTAGAATAACTATTAGAATATGTTAAATTATGTTATAATTATTCTAGAAATGCCTGATTTCTAAATAGTACAAGTATTAAATCTTTACTGGTTCTAGTAATTCTAACAAAATGTCTTTTCCCACAGTCAAAATATCTTTTAATGGTGAATTATATTTTATTTTCTTCTACAGGAGATAAAAGTATCAGCACATAATAGTTAGATAGGTACCTATATAATATAGCTCTATATGCATTTATGGTAAATATAATATTTATAATTATTTATTTTGATAAAAATAGCAGTTTGTTCTACGATGAAAAATCATCATGTTATAGATTAAAAATGAATAACGTAAATATCGAAAAGAATATTATGTATTATTATGTAATGATAAGGAAATCGATGTACATAATTAACATAATGATTAACAATCCAACGACCGTTACCGACCTAACTAAAAGGTGAAAATAATTATTTTCCAACTGGGCGTTTCTCGTAAGTAAAATATATCATATTAAGTATGTTATATATTACCAATGTATGATGTGTACTCTAAAGATAACGTCCCGTATATGGCTACTGCAAAGTTCAAATATTGTGTCATTTCTTTTGTCGTAGATGGCATTTTATTGAGCGGTCATTGTGAGCAATCGCTTTTAACTAGAACTTCCAATTTCACGTGTATTCATGTGAAATTAACATTAAAGAATATAAAATCGTGTTTTATTCACGTGTTCACGGATTACGTGTTCAAGTTCGTATTAGTTGACGTTTTCAATCGAGACCTCACTTTTCACATATAATCATATCAGATCTAGGGGGGGGGGAGCGAGTGGGTATGTTTGCCCTAGACACTGTTTATATAAGAGCGCTCTTAAGTCAACGAAAAAAAAAGTCATAAACATACCCCATACTTATACCTTCGTAAGGGCGCTGCATTTTTATTAGTCCCGAGTGTCAAATTTTCTAGATCCGGCACCTCACATAATACCCAATAATATAACCGTAAGAAAATCAATAAACGCCCTCGTAAGACACGATATATTTTTTACCATTGCAATTGTAAAAGTTTATAGGAGTAGCCCCATAAATATCTGACTGTGCGTTGATGTACTGTCCAATGTTTTACCTAGAGAACCCCGATGTCCTGCATGGTAAGTACAGGAAATTATCGACAACAATTTTTTTTTCTTTGAAGTTATTATAGTACTAGGTACACAATAATCATTATAGTTTATAATATAATACGGTCAACCGCAACAGTTTCTAATGGCTATAGGTGTATAGCCGTATGGCTATCTACCACTCACAATCATGAAATCCTTATTCGTCAGATAGGTGCACTACTAATACGGTCACGAGCAATAGAAATGTGAATGGATTGATAAAACCCAGACACGTAGTAGTTAGACACGTAGTAACTACATGGAAAAAAATAGGTAGTTATAGTAAAAGTAGCATTGGCATATATTGTTATTTTATTGCTGTCCGATTATATAAATATCTTCATAGACGCTCTCATAATTCTTGATTAATTAAATAATAAATCGTAGGGCCTCATATACAAGGTTAGACACATTTCAATTAAAGTTAATTTATAATTGGTATTTGTATACATACTTTTTAGGTAATTTATAATTTGTAATTAATTACCTAAAATTTGTGTAACTATTAATTATCAATTACTGAAATTACTTTTTTTTAAAAAAATGAAATAAGCCAGAATTTCAATAATAATACCTACAATTTGTAATAAGATAATACAAGATAAGTGTAGAACAAATTTATTATATTGTGATAAATTGTATTATCAATAGTGACGCCCAAGTAGGATACCAAGTGGTGCAATTGTACTGATATCTCGTGGATCTCAGGGTCTACTCGTACATACATTTGGGGGCCTCACTCTGGTTTCTGGAGCAAACATTATAAATACATAACTATTCGTATGGATCTTCAGATCGTTGAATAAAACGTAAAGAGTTGGCAGCACCAAATATGAAAACAAATATAAATATATAATAACTATAATGTAGATATATACTATAATAATATTGATTGTGTTTGTAGTTGATGTCAAGGCCCAGGTAGCCACACCAATATTTCTATGCTATTATGTTAATATGTTATGTAACTAATATATAAAAATAGATTATAATGAAGTAAAAGATATATTTTTTAAAACAAGTCAACACATATTCAATGCCTTAAATTAAATGATTATGTAGGTATGTTGTAGTATTTGAAATATTTAGTAATTAATAGGTTATTGTATTTGAAAAACTGCCCTGAGTAATACTAATCGGTGAAGATTTTTTTTTTTTTGTAAAATTTTAAATTCAAGCCCCATGTTAAAAAAATGTTGAACAAGAATATACAATATTTTTAAATGTATTCAAGGTAAACATGCATTTGAAAATGCATTTGGAAAACAAATTATTTCAATCAAACGAATATGATCGTATGGACCAAATAAATTAGACCAAAATAAATTTGGCGGCCTTATAATTATAATTGCACTGGTTCATGGAAAACTTGTGGGTGCCACTGATTGTCTACATGCCTACCAGTATACTATGTAGATATTGTACACATTTCACAATACAAAATTAGTCTTTCACCAATTACCGTCTGGTTGCACAATCGCATCTTATTGCAACTGTCATCAATTGACTTTTTCAATTTTGTAAGTTAACATTTCAAATATCCAATAAACTAATATGAACGCTGGTGAGTTTGATCAACCAATTTTTGATGCGACTTATTTTAAAACCAAGATTGTAAATAATGATAAAATACAAGCAATTTGTATTTTATGTAATGATGATAAAGCTTTAATTTTTGGTGACAATTTTTTAGTATGTACCTATATCTTCGAAGTTCGACCAATCTTCTGTAGAAACTACTCAAAGCGGTATTGAATTACAACTATTGGAATTTTTTAATGATGAAAAAAAAACACTGAAATGCTTGGATAATTATCCAGTTTTTAAAGAATTATTTATTCAATATAATACTGTTCTTAGTTCGTGAGCCCTAGTCAGTGGCCGATCCAAGGGGGGGGCAATAGGGTAAATACCCCCCCTTGAGCTATTATCCTAGAAAATTTGAGAATTTTAGAAATTTCTAGTTATATTCAGCGTTCAGCGGTACTATTTCAGATACTGACAGTATTATTGATCGTGTGAGGTTAGTACTGATGTACTGTCAGTATGAAAAAACAATACTGATGATTGATGAAAAAATCATTTTGGTGTATCATATCTATAAAATTTGTGTTGTTTTTTTAAGTATATAATTGTTGTCATTGATACCAGTTAGTTAAAAAATAAATTCAAATTAATAATATTAAAAAAGTATGTTGTTAAGTTTGAATAATATCTGTTGAATAAATTTTAATTACCCTCCCCCCCTTGATAAATTTCTGGATCCGCCCCTGGTCCTGGTTGGAAGATTGTTTTCTTTTGCCGGTTTCATAATGGCATATACCCGTTCAAGGTTATCCGTTGAGTAATTTGAAAAGCTTGTTTTTTTAAAGGAAATTATAATTATGTCGTCTAAAATTATAGTATTATTTATATTTTAAACTGTTCTGTTTATTATACTCGACTTATTTATTAATTAAAGTCTTAATTATAATAGTAGAACATCTTATTTATTTTTTTATGTCTATTTTCTAATATTTTTCTGGGTACTTTTTTTGTATTGTAATTTGTAATTGCAAGAACCTACCTAATTTAATTTTGTAATTAATTACAGCGATTTTTCATAATTTATAATTTGTAATTAATTACATTTTTTCGAGTAATTTGCCCATCTACAATATTTCGAAGGGTGCCGGGAAACACCCTCCCCTCCGCCGGTGTGCATACCTATGTTTTTGAGATTAATTATTTTTAATCTGGAAGGCTTACGAAAATATTTAGAGGGCTAAACCCATTCCTTAGTTATGCATATGACAACCATTGATCATATAATCTACTATAAACAATGATATCTTTTACATATATGCATTAAAATATTACATATTATAAAATACCTAAATTAACTATACTTAGTATACTAAGTATTAAAATATAAATAGTATACTAAGTAAGTCAATGGTTGTCTTTGAATTTAAATAACAAGAATCCAATGATAGAAATTATTTTTTTATGATATTTATTAGACCAAGAATTAATACAGAATAAGTGTTATATGACATATATATTAAAGTTTCTTTTTTACCTGTTGGCTGTATTTTTGTAACATCATAACATTATCAAATTTTTTTTTAGTTATTAAACTGAAATAAAAAGTTTTTTTTGCATACATTGTCCTTACATAAAATTTAATTCAATATAAAATTAATTGAATTTGATGAAATATTCCCAAGTTAAAAATTATTATAACCATAACTTAACTATATTACATAAAAGTTTTTAATTTTGTTTAACTCTTTCCACACAATAAGGAAAATCAAAATAGTAATAAATATTAATTCATCATTTATTACTTGATGAGATATGAAATAACTATAGTTGTCAAGAATACTTACCTATTGAGAAGAATAGGAAATAATATTATGTAGGTAGTTAGCCCCATTAATCATTATGTTAAAGTGGAAAAATTAGATTGAGCACTGACCATAATGCTGGAAGGATTAATATGAATGTAGATTACACTAGTACAAACGTATAAAGAATACTCAAACAAAATCCGAAATTAAAATATTATTAGTAGTTAAACTTTAACCTTCAATCTTTAGATAATTCATTAGATCTAATTTAATTTTGATGTATTTCGCGCTTAAACTATTGATCATTTCTTATAACAAATTAATACAAAATATAGACTGAATGATTTATTATGCAGATAAAACATAACAAAATATTAAATATGATTAAAATTAAATTTGCACAAATACTAAAAAAACAAAATAATGAACAGTATGTTATAAAGTAATATTTTTGTTTTACATGAAACTAACAGTTTTCTAAAACCTTATATTTAAACTTGGGCCGCTCGATTTGAATGTGTATTGTCATCATCATTTTCATCATCACTACTGATCTTTTGTTGTTTTACTTTCTCTAATAATTCTTCTGTGGCGGATTTCTCTTCCCATACAGGATTCGAAAGCTTTTTAGATGGAAACTGTGTTATGTTCAATGCTGGATCCATGTTTGTGAACGGGCTCCATACACCTTGTATGGAAGGACATTCTGTATGCCACATTTTTAAGTACCTTTTCAACGGTATACCTGATCGGGTGGCGTATAAGTTTAACCACTTGATCATTTCATGTGAACTGAAGTTGTGGCAACTGATCACTTCTCGTTCACCATTCAAATATTCAGCAACAAATGAGGGCGACTTGTGACGACGGGGCTTCAAGTATACAACTGTACCCGGATGATCTTGTGCAAAAGAAATAAGTTCGGTTTCGATGAAATCACGTACTCCACGGCTGGAACCACTGCTTTTGCAAAATCTTAATGTAACTCTTTTCAACTGGCAAATATAACGTCCGATACCATTCTGGAGCGGAACTGATGGGAAACCTTTGGGAGTAAATCGGCTGCTAGACATAATTATTACTCACAATATCACAATATTATTAAACTTAAAGTTAATCGAATGGTTCAGACACCGAAAAAATTAATACTAGCTAACAAAAGTCTTGAAGCCATGCTTTGCCGCTGATATCATTATCATTATTATTGTTAAGCCATTATCTCTAGAATATATTGTTGATACTCAGTGTAGCCGTATTTATCAGAAAACTAGGGGAATAGTACCACAGATTATATGAACATTGTCATATTATAATTCATATGATTCATATTCATATTCATATGATTCATATTCATATTCATATAATCTGTTATAGTACAGTGACACGGGTGTCTACACCATTTACATGCATAGGCGTGTTTAGACTTTGGTGACCCGGGAGGGCATACAAATATTTTAAATCATAGGATCTAGTTTATTTTTAAAGATTAAGAGAAATATTTATTTTTATGCTAAAAAACTTGCAACGATAGGAATATTTTTTAATTATAATCAAAAAGTATAATCATTGGCGTATCAAAACAATAAAAATAAATTTAAAACTAAAATAAAAACACATAGGTACATAATATGAATAAATGTTGACAAAAATAACATGTTTATAATTCCGTTCTTCTCTTATATGGTTCCAATACTTTAAAAAGCTCAATGAAATCATCAAAGTTTATGTTTATCGCCAATTATTGTTCGATACTGATGGTTAATAATTCATCCAGACGATCTTGATGAACATAGTGCACCTCAGTTTAGTTTTTATAAAACTTATTTTGGAAAAATTCTTCTATCACTAACATTTTGTAACTGGTATAGTTACAAATAGTTTAAAGGCTTTGAATACATTTGAAAATAAATCCTCCCTACCATGAACTAAATCCACTCGCCACAGTTTTTTCTTTTATATTTGGATTACTAAGTTTGATCAAATCAATTTCAGCTTCCAAATCATTCTTCTTCAAATCAAAGGTTCTATAATTAACAAAGGAAAAGTAAGTAACTCAAATAACAATAAAATAATTTATTATTTGTGTGCAGCAATAAAAAAAGAATAAAAATAATTATATAATCAAAATCTATAGGTATGTACTATCGGTAATGAGTACAGACCACATGACTTTTTCTACCTTGGCATAATTTTGTTAGAGGCACAGTCCGCCGGGGGTGACAGTGTTCACCCGGCCGCTACCGTAAATACACCCATATCTGCGCATTGTCTTCAGTATAGGATTTATTGAGGATGCAATGCACCACAGCCTCTAGCTCTGAAAGATCTCTAGAACCAAAATCAAAAATTTATTGATAATGGTTAGTTTTATTTATTTTTTCTTGCTTCAGTGTTTTATTGTTCCTTTTAAATCAAATTAGTTTTACCTATACATAGATTTATACATATAAGCGAATTTTTTTCAAAGGGACCTCGAATGGGTATTTGCACTTCAATCTCCTGAGACTTATAAGTCTTAAAAGTATCATCTGTAGATCCGGCACTGATTGTCTAGAATTCTAAAAACGATTAAATTCGTGTCGTTTTTAAATAAGTTATTATCATCCATATAGACTTGTCGCTGTTCCGATATCATTTTGTTCAAGAAACCGATGAAACTATGTATTTAATGGATAAATATATCTATTCATGGGTTATCAACCGTCCTACATTAGTTTGATTTGTCATTTATCCAACAATGCTTTAAACTTTTTGTAGCATAATCCTAAATTTTACAAAAAATATCTATTTATAGTTCATAATTATATTTACTATTAATTTACATGATATATTGTACGTTGAAGTCAAAAGTATTAATAAGCTAATTTAATAAAAGTGATATAAATAAAATTTATTAAATGCTTTTATTAGTTATTATTAGGGCAGAAGACTTGTAGCATTTGCATATATGTTTTGTTTAATCACAAAAATAGCAGAATACGAAAGGAATATGTTTTATGCTTTCACAAAGCTAGTGTTGAATTTTTATTTTGCATTTAATGCATATTTCAAGTTTTTTCCTTTTAAGACATATTTCTTCCTTTTTATACTTTTGAATGCATATTTCAAATAATTTATCATTTCATCAATACTTTTTTTACACGAACTTATTTCATTCAATATGCAACCAAAATATTGTCGAATTTAAAATAATTTTAAATTTTGATCATATGGTTGTTGACTGTTGGCAGACGCACGTTTTTCCTAGTAATACGTCTCCAGGATCGGTGATAAGATTAATTTTATTTATAAACAGTAAACACACAGCTTCGTAGGTATCATACATAGGCGCGTTTACGGCTATGGCCACTTTGGCAATGGCCAGACCTGCAAAATCCAGCTCCGTTTTAAATTTATGATTAAATCATTAAAAGTAATTACTAAAAAGTAAAAAGAATGATTACATAAAACAGAACTAAATAATAAATATTTTCACATAATATATTATTTATATAATATGTTTGTGACAAAAACTAACCATTAATATTTATTACGACTTACACATATTATTAATCAATGTAATCTGTGCTATTATCAATTGACAACGCTATACCATATCTATTTTATGCTAACCCTACACATTTCAAATCGTATAAAGCTAGCAAAGCTAGCCATTAGTGATGGTAAACTGCTATTTTTTTTTTTTTTTTTTGTAACATCTGATAATGCTATTGCTATTTTAAAATAGCAGTGATAAATAGCAGCTATTGCTATTTCGTAATAACAGCTGATAATATATTATGTAATGTTTATCATTAATTTTTAAATTTGATATTTTAATAGCAGCTTATGTATATTATACCAAATAGCAGTCTATTAGATCATTATATATATTTATATTGATATCTAATATTTGAGCATACGATAAGCGTCCATAACACGCGCATTATCAATTATCACATGTCACAAATATATAGAATAAACCTTAGATCATTTACAAATTGTATATGATCTAAGGAATAAACTTATATCTGTGAATTACATCTTGCCAGCCGCCAAGATGCTACTGCTATTTTTCATATTATTTTGAGTGTTCTAACTTCTAATATAATAGCACCTTTAAAACAGTGTAGGAAACTAGGAAAACATAAAAACCAAAATTCAAAATTTAGCAATCACTGTTATTGTTGACACTGAATAGCAGTCGACGAATGCTATTAAAACTGCAACTGCTATTTCTTACCAACACTACTAGCCATACACGATCCGGTTTGCCGGGGACCGCCAATATGATAAATTCACATATTGACTTATCACATGAGCTGTGTGATAAATGATAACGATGATTTAATAACTTTCTTTTAGTTCTTTCCTTGTGAAACGAAACAAACCTTGGTTCATAATTTTTAATTTACTTTTTCGATGGCTACCGATTCTGAGAAAAGATTGTTGAAAGAATTCATGGATGGATTGGAAACAAGAAAACTGTGCGATATTGTCAGATCTGTGTATCATGGAGGTGGAATTTCAGTAAATACTCGAGAAGGTAACAAAAATACTTTTGGAGTTACAACGGTTTTTAGTTCAATTTACTTCTAGATAGAATTTTACAATTTTTTCTTTTATTTGTCAGTACTGACCGATATCGATTATATCTGATCTTTATGACTATAGGTTAAATATTGATTTAGTGTTGTTAATGATTTCAATATGTGATAATGTTACCTTGTTTTAGACGCTGAATTGTTGTTGCTGACACAATCGTTCACGCAAATATTTTCGAGTAAAAAAACACCAATCACTGCGTTGCTGAAGTTTATGATTTCCAAAGGCTTAACACCCACACCTAATATGACTAAAAATGATTTGTGTTTGGCTTTCAAGATGTTAGTTGAAAGTCAACCAGATTACTGCAAGTCACATATTCAACCTTCGCAAATGTCTATACAACCGACACGAATACCTGTTCAATCAATGCAAATGTCTGTACAACCTACACAAATGTCTTTACAACCGACACAAATCCCTGTACAACCAATGCAAATGTCTGTACAACCAGGACAAATGCCATTTGCTAATAATATGATGGCTTTGTCACAAAACAACAATATGATGCATTATCAACCTTGTCAACCACAAACCCAGCAAGTATGCATATTTATTTAAATTTTTATTGTAAAGTGATGGTGTTACATATGAAAAGCTTATTTATATTTAACCAATAGATTTGTGTTCAAACTATACAGTTTATATGCATATAGTAGTATTTATAATGCAATATTTTTTTATAACTAAATCTATTAATTTCTCTATGCCAAGCATATAATTTATCATTGATCATAACGTTATCATAATGTAATTGTTATTTTTGAGTTAATAATCTGTAAAACATTTTTTTATAACTACATGTAAAAGAAGGTATCTATTTTACATGTGCAATAAAACACATATTATCATATTAGTTTAGTACAATGATATATACATACTTAAATATTAATTAAATACAATTTTATGTACATTGATTAAAGAATATAAAAAAAATGTATAAAACTTAAAAAGTAATAACTATTTTAGAATTATTTTATTTCGTGTATAATTTTGATTTTCAAACTAAAAAATAAATATAATTACAATTTATAAAATACAATGAATTCAAAATAAAGTAATAAATAACATAAAAATCAATCCAACATGAAATGTTGTCATCATAATAGTTACATGTAGTATTCTGAACATTGAATTACAATTCACATTGGAATTGACTTTAAAATAATATAATGCTGTAAAATAATTTTATTTGTTAGAATTGTATAATTATAAATTAAATATATTTTATTATACTAAATAAATTTTCAAATTATTTGTAATTCATTTTAATTAAATTATTTATTTTATAAATTACAAAAACAATTGAGTTGTAAAGAAGTGCAAATAAAATAAATTTTTATTTTACAGATGCCTATGATACCAACACCACCAATAAATACTGTGTCTGCTCCTAGTAATACAAAAGATCGAAAAGAACGTGAAAATGAACTGTTAGAAGATTTTATTGAGATGTTTGCTAAACATTTTTATGATTTATTTAATGATATCGGTGTACCTGGGAAAAATCAACTGGATGGACGTCATTTTTATGAAAACTGTACAATGGCTGTAAGGATTCTTGGAGGAAGTGAAGAAATTAGCGAAAAATGTGAAAATTCAGCTACTTTATTACAGTGTTTGTCTGGAATTAAGAAAGAGCACCAACTTTTTTTTTCACCACATTTAAGTGATGTTAAATGGAAAAAAGAATCACATGGTTTAGTGAAAGTTCACATTGGTGGTACATTACACCAAGGTGTTGGAAGAATGGTAGGTATGTTTGAGCAGCAATTTATACTTAGAGAAGATCCTCAGGCGGAAAATACTTGGAAAATATTAAATACAAATTTGATGATGAAAAGTATGGAATCATTAACATCTGGGCCTACGTTAAGCATACAAGGACAACAAACAAATAATTTACAAATTGATATAATATGAAAACATTGACAGTTTAATAAAACATAAATTAAACAAAGCTTGTTTTTATTTGGTTTAATGAAAAAAAATATAATGATTTAGTTGACAAAAACGTAAATTTGTAGATTATATGCTATTTACTACAATGCAATTTTAATTTTTAAGTATAAAATAATTCAAAAAGAACTTCTTATTTATGAAAACCTAAACAGCTATCAAGTACAACTTAATAAGTAAACATTTGGACATTTTAATGGCAATCTATAAAACTAATTTAAGAAAAAATAATTGAATTTTTATTGAGGATAATGGATTAATCATTTCTGTATTTTGTTATTACTACAATAAGGTATTGACAAATATAATTATGTAATAAAACTATTCATTGTGTAAACTAAGTTAAAGTAAATATAACATAGTTTATTGAAAATTCATATTAATGATATACATTTAGATTTAATAGTTAATGATGATGTTATTAGAGCAAAATTTTGCACTTACAATTATAGTATAAAATAGATAACTAAATAATATATTTTTTAATAAAAAAAAAACTTAATCTACTTAACTGTTGTCATAACCCAAATAATAAAACTAAAATAATTGAACTGTATTTATTAACTAAATAATAAAATAACTATTTTATTGTATAATTATTATATGTAAAAATATAAACAGAAGTGGCTACTTCACTTTTTCATTTTCTCCGTTCCTAACCTAGGTTTTAAAATTTCATCAAAATCTAAAGATTGTCCTTGAAGACCATTTCGTAGGCAATTTTGGTACTGTTCAAACTTTTTGGCACACCTTTTGTCATCATAATCGCCTTTCATGTAACACTCAGTGAACCAAGAACTAAAACATTGTTGATATTCATCTTTCATTTGATTGCAGGGCACATGATAACTATTCATTTTTCAGAAGTTTATCTGAACACAACTTTTTTTCGTTATTTTTTTTTATGTATTAAGATTTATGTATTACTAATTTAATAGTTAGAAAAAAAAATTAAGACTACAATTAAATTAGTTATAATTTCAAGTTCGTCAATTGTTCATTTAATGATCTAGTGTCGATATGAATAACAGCATTTTCAAGCGGTCATTTCATCAAGTACGAACGGTATAATTAGTGCACAGGAATGATTGGAATTGTTTTCGTAGTCACCGTAAACTGATAAGAGTACGCACTACAGACGAGCATGTGTACGGAGTCAATTGCAATACCATTGATTCGGTTATGGAAGCACTGAAGAACGGAGACACATTGAACGTACACAGACCTTGAAATAATTCGTTCACAGAGTCCACTCGTAAATTGTAATAAATTACTGTTTAATGGCAAATTAAAAAGAACGGTGACGGTGAACACTTGCTGGTCTGAATTGTGGAATAATGAACGTAACGAGTAATGGCAGAATTGGTCTCATTACATAGGATTACGTAGTCATAGACAAACTTGACAAACGCCTTTAAATGTAAATACAAATTATAATTAAATTTTAATATAATCTGTTGTATAAATGCTTGCAATCACATAATTATCAGTAAGTTACGGTCCACTCCGGGAAGAGAAAAATACAAATTCCGAACGATAAATACAAAACATAACCTCAATAACAATCGACACTTATCGGTTCCTTTACTTTCTCGTACACGTTTTCGCTAACAGTGAAGTGTTTTAGGGCTTACTTTATTTTTAGTTGTCAACTAAAGTAAGTATGAATTAATAATTTCACCTATACCGTATCTTATTCATTTATAATATCGTCTAGTGGTTTGTCATGTTGAACTCTTTTTATTTATTTTTCTTAAAAATTGTTCCATTATACCTACGTGTCTTACAGTCGTGTGTATTAATAAAATAATAACGTGACACACAGTCTAAATGTTTATTATTCACTGAGTAAATATTCTGAATATTTTTTTTTTGTAGTTATATGGTTGTTGTATCCAGTGTGATGTGTAATTTTGTATAAAAGTTGATCTTTGTTTGTGGTTCACGATTATTCAGTGTTTCGAATGACTTGGGTCTAAGAAATAGATTGAGCTAATATTTGTATTTTATACTTAACAAGTACATAGTTGCCAGTTTTGTTTTTATTTGCATATTTTCACAAACTTTGTATAGTGGAACTTCGATTATCTGAATCTCAACTGGACATCTAATTATCCGGACAGAATCTGACAAAAGATTGTTTAAATAATTCGTAAATCTTAATAGATTAAAATGATTCCTTATAAACGTTCTTTAGGTTAAGTTTGGTAGTTTATTTAATTTATTCATTTTCAGTTAAATATGTACAATAAATGCTTACAATTATTTAATTTTTGATGTGTCATGTCATCTGAATATGTTTGTCTGTATTACTCTTGGTATTAATTAGTCCAGATAATCAGGATTTTAATGTAAATAATTATGATTCTATAATTTAAAATTATCTTTCACTGTGTAAGGTATTCTGACTTGTTTGTTAAAATGCAAATATACCTATTTAATGATAACATTATACCGTCCCAGACTGAATGTTATGTTGAAGGTTTGATCTGAGTTATTGTTGCTACTATATTTTCATATTTTCTACTTTAAAGTGTCTATAAAATAACTCGTTTGACATTTCATGCTGTGAATTTAACAATTAGAGAGAATTGATTGCTAGCCTATTTTTATTTTTCAGATAAAATTTAAAAATGACCAACTCAAAAGGTTATAGACATGGTACTAGGGACTTGTTTTCCCGAAAATTCCGCAGACATGGAGTCATTCCTTTGTCAACATACATGAAAGTGTATAAAGTTGGCCAGAGAGTTGATATTAAGGTATTTCATTTTTTTCTCTTAAATTAACTCTTAGAACTAAGTATAATAATCATGACTTCATAATAAATAAAATTGTTTCAATTTTAAGGGTAATGGAGCTGTTCAAAAAGGTATGCCATACAAAGTCTACCACGGTAAGACTGGAAGAGTATTCAATGTATCCAAACACTCTCTTGGAGTAATTGTTAACAAAAGGGTCCGTAATCGCATTATTGCCAAAAGGTAAAATGAGAACTTATAGAAACAATAATCTGTACCAATAAAATTATTTATATTATGTTTATACGATAAGATGTTTTAACTGTTTTAATATTTGGTTTTAAATTATGTCTGTCATAATATTATTAATATCAACAGTAAATTGTTATTAATTTAAATTATCTACCTTCCTGGTACTTTTTATCAGTAATATTTAACCCCCAGTTATTTATATTTCTAATTATTTAATTTTCTATATAGTAGTGAAATGAATTCGAGTACTTAAACACAACTCGAAAAATGTTATTGAGTACTCTACCAACTAAATAATAGTATGAATTAATCTGTTTTTTTTTTTTTTTTTTTTACTTGCATTATTTAAGTATAATTATTATCTTAATATGTTTCCTAATATAAGTTCTAACTAAATTTTGTGTTTAAGGTTTTATCTGAATGCATATTAATTTGATTTTGGTCCTAAATTAAAATGACTATTATTCATTCTTGATAAGTAGTATATATAGTTATAATGATATATCGCCCCAGTCTGAAAATTATGTTTAATCTAAGATTTTAGTGCAATTCAGTTTTTATTCATTATTTTTTATAAAACTTGATTATAAGTTATAAACGTAACTATGTAAATAATATGCCACAAATTTTATAACTATAGTTGGAATTTTTTACTGTTTTGATTGTAACCATTTCAGAATGAAAACCATTTTGAAGATTTGATCTGAATGTATATTTATTTGGTTTTAATACTTAAATAAAATACATAATCTATGATGATCTTATACTGCCCCAGACTGAAAATCATGTTGAAAGTTTTATCTGAAAGTAAAACAAATTGGTTTTATTTTTATTTTAAAATTATTATTTATACATACATATTAAAACTTATTCCTTACAATGTTGATTTTATATCGCCCCAGACTGAGAACTAATGTTGAAGGTTTAATTTGAATACATAAGACCTTAGTTTGATTCAGAATTAAAATAAATAATGTGTTAATAATTGTGATTTTATACCGCCCCAGACTAAATTTCATGTTGAAGATTTTATCTGAAAGTATACCAAATTGGTTTTATTTTTATTTTAAAATGATTAAACATATATTTCAAAATTTATTCTTTACAATGATGATTCTATACCGCCCCAGACTGAATGTCATGTTGAAGGTTTTATCTGAA